GGACCCGGAGGCTTGGCCCCTCTGCCCTGCCGCCGCCCCGCAGGGCTGCAGCCCCAAAGGGGAATGAGCTCCTGCCAGCCTCTGCCCGGGGCGGCATGACTTTCAGAAACTCTATTTCCTAAGACACGGCCTCGCTAACCAGCTAGAACAAGGGGGGAGCGTCTGCTCGCAGGGCAGGTACGTCTGGGGAGATGGGCACAGGGTCTCTCGAACCCTGGCATGGCCCTGCCCAGCCACCGCTGCCTTTCCCGCCTGCGCCCAGGCCACCTGTGCCCGAGGCCTGACCCTCACAGCGCTGCCCCCACACTAAGTCCTGACACCTCCGCCGCCCCGGGCCTGGTGACAGAGAAGAGGGGGTGCAGGGGGGACCCTCCCCCAGCTGCCTTTCCGCCAGGGTGGGCAAGAGTGAGGAGCGAGCTCCCAGCTGAGTGACCACCCGGAGGAACACAGCACCGCCCCCCTCAGCCCGCTGGTGGGCAGGAGGGCTCGTAGCTGCTCACGTGGTCACCGTTTATGGGAGTGACCGCAGAGCCACGGAGCGCCCAGACCCGGGGTGTCCTTGCAGAAACAGCCCCCAGAAGGGCCCAGCCTTTCCTGCTGGGGGCTGGCAGGGGGGACTCCGGCCCTTGGGGGGCCTCGGGTGGGCCCCCGTAACGCAGGAGCCAGGAGCTCCCTGGCTCCCCAAGCCCTGGCTGCACAGATGCAGGGCCCCTCCCTGCCCCCGACTGTGCAGACGCCCTCCAGCCCCTGGGCGCATTGCAGACCATTAACTCCGGGCGGCTTCTCACATTCCCAGGAGTCCTGCGGGCCCCCTGGCCCTGGCCTTAATCCACTGGCATGGGGGTGGGGGTGCTTCAGTCCCAGCCGGGCGCTGTCTGGGAGCCTAGGGGCTGTTTGCACGGTACTCCAGTCTGTGAGCCCCCTAAATGCAGCCCCTACCCCCTCTGAGGCCAGAGCCTCTGTGTGCCCAGTGCCCACACCCTGGGTGGACCCCCACTGCCCGTGGCCGGTTCCCCGGGCGGACGCTGAGGCCAGGAGGCCCAGGCCAGCTGGGCTGGGGTCCAGCTCTGCCCACTAACCCCCATCTGCGGGCTGCTATTGGGGTGCAGGCGCTCTCCTGCCCTCCATGGCCAGGAGGCTGCACCCTGCGGGGAGGGGCGC